CAGAGATTTAAACATGTTATAGTACTGAGTTACAGACAGAGACCCTTGATCTATTGTATTTAGAGACTTTTCCAACTGAAAAACCCTAGGACCTGAACTCAAGGCATATCATGTTTTGATCTCATCCCAAACATCTTTAGCAGTGGTGAAAAATAACAGAGACTGACGGATGTCTTTAGCAATAGAGTTTAACAACCAGGACAGGACGAGATTATTTGCACGAAGCCAAGAGAGATACAGAGAGGGGTTACCAGTTGACGAAGGAGGAACGATAGATCCGTCTACAAATCCGACCTTGTTTTTGACGCTGAGGGCCATTTGAATGGCGCGGCTCCAGGAGACGTAGTTGTCGCCGGTGAAGAGTTCGGCAACGATCAAGGCCCCTGGGTTGTCGCTGGCGTGGAGGTAGAACGGTGATGAGATGTCTTCGGTGAGACTTGTATTGGTCGCCATCGCCGATTTGTGTTGCAGATCTAGGGTTTCAAACCAGAAGAAGAAAAAAAATAGCGAAAATCGATCCAAAAAAAATGAAGATTGTATGTGCGGAAGCGAAAATCAGTCACAAATCAGAGATTTGTGACCTCTGATACCATGTTTGTTTATAGAATTGCAGATGAAATCAAAGAGAAAAGGAAGAACACGAGAGAGAGAGTAAGAGCTAGAGAGAGAAAGTAAAAGCTGCGATATTATTGATGAAGAGAAAAAGTGATTAGGGTTACATGTCTCAAGATATTTATACTATGGGAATCTGAATGCTAAAGTAAGAGTTGCTATTGATATAGTAGCAACTTTAAGCATAATGATAAAATACATGAGATGACCTAAAATACATTTTATTCTAATGATGGACAAAATATAAAATATGAAATACAACTCTAATAATGTGGATGTGACTGGGGCCGGCAGCGTGGGTGGCCACGGCAGAGCGGAGGTAGCGGGCGTTGAATGGGGTAGTGGCGATGGTGACGGTGAAGCCGAAAGTGGTGTGGATTCAGTTGGCCAGTGCGAGGAAAGGGATGAGATGGCCTTGCGCCATGAATGGTAGCATCACTATGTGCTCTCTTGAGCAGCTTTCCATTTTTTTTTCTTTTTTAATTTTTCCTTTTTTTTTTTATTCAGTTTTGATTTTTTGAATGTGTGACTGAGAGGAGGTTATGTGCGTGTGAGGATGGAAAGCAGTGGATGGAAAACGATTGTACGCGTGAAGAAGAAAAAGTTGCCGACCGACTTTTGCCTCGGTAACCTCAATTGTGCGTAACATGATTATGTTATAAGCTTTTTGACTCTTTACATTAAAACCAACTAACTTCTAGAATGTTTTGAAAAAGAGTAATTGATATTATAGCCATGGGATCAACCAGGTCACCTCAATAAGGCTAAAAACAGGTTGATTGGAGACCTGAGTGACAAACAGATAAGTTAGAGATTACCTTGTACAAAAGACAACCTACTCGACTTCGACCTATAGAACAGAGGAGATAGAACCGGTTCGAGTACACATGATTTGAAATCTTGGATACCTGATTCACAAGTACTCGTTGTGACGACCTTGAGAATTGCGACCTACTAATATTTGGTACGTGAATTTAAGATCGAGAGACTTTTGAGCACCTGGAACCTGAGTTGATGGAGACCTAACCAAGATAAGAATGAATCTAATCAGGATAAGGACGAATCTAATGAGGATAAGGTATCAAGATATCGATGAACACAAAGTAGATAAGGATTAATCATCGGACAGTTGGTTGTTCCGGGCAGCTGGACAATTCCAAGCAGACTGACCGGGGCAGCCCGGACAACTAAATCTTGGGCACCAAGGTATTTCCCCTATAAAACAGGGTTGGGGTACAACTGAAACACACTACACACTCTGATATACATACATTCAATACAATTCATCATCTTCTTCCCTTACTAACTTGAGCCTCAGAGTGCTTACATAAGGAACCACTCTCGACCCTTGTTTTGTAGGCAATTAGCGAGTTAGGGATGATTGGAGGTTTTTCTGTGTCGACTCCACCTAGAACCAGGTCTCCAACACATCATTTCTTGGACACGAAGTTCAAAACAATCACAACATTTCTTTATTGTGATCTTTGACATCAAGAACATGCACCGGTTCTCCCGATTCCTTCACATCTAATTGTTTGGACAACCATACCCTTGCATCTAACAACATCTTTACACCACTTCCAGTGATCAGAACGCTGTCTAGGCACAATATAAATAATACCACCACGTTTCTGTCACTATACACATAATGCTCATTTTGTGATAGATCAAATCCATAAAAAATGACTCATCAACGAGGTGTATTTGATTTCAACACTTACTTTAGTCCACAAATGGGCCGTTTAGATTTACATATTAGATGCTCTCACCCCTTTGCACTGAATACTTCTGGGTGATGCATCATGGATTTTTCCACAAGACCTCCGTTTATAAAAATGTCTCGACATCGACAATGCCAAATCTCATAGCTCATATGAGCGGCCACAACCCAAAATTCGTTTATTTTAGTATGACACTTGTTACTTGTGCGACTTATATGTGTTATATTATAATAATTTTTCTAACTTATAACATATAACTACATTAAACATGAATATATTAAAGAAATAATGTTATTTTTAATTAATTTTAATAATTAATTTTTTATTATTGTAAACATAAATATAATTTATTTATTTTATATATACAATATTGATGTCAAATCGAAGCTCATCAAAAGATGAT